TATATATATATATACACACACATAAGTTTGGGAAAGAAAGGGGAATCACAGAAGGCATGGGATATATGCTGAACTAATACAGCAGTGGTGCTAACTAAACACTGTTAGAAATGAACTTTATAATATGGGAGAAGGGGAGTTGAGGGAATTAACAAGAGAAAATGAGGGAGGGAATAAAACTGTTTAAAAGAAAATGTATTTGTGACCGTAGTTATATAACTCTAAACCCTACGTCCATTATATTTACAATAGCTAAAATTTTAAAAAATATTGTGGTTGGTGATGACAGTGAAAATCTGAGAGAGAGTGAAGGAAAGGTTGATATTGTCCAAAAAGTAAGGTACTTAATATTTGACTTATGTAACTTTAAGCCATGATATCACCATGATAATTACAATAAAAATTACATGGTTCAAAAGGAATTGTCCTCATTACCCAATTCATGTAACTGTAACTCCTCTGTATATCAACTCTACCATAACAGCAATTAAATAAAATCAAATAAATCTAAAAAATATTAAAAACAATGAGACCTCTATTGGGCCCTGGGGGCTTACACCTGTAATCCTATCTACTCAGAAGACTGATTAAATCATGATTATTGTTTGAAGCCAGCCTGAGCAGGAAAATCTGTGACATGGTTATCTCCAATTAACTACCAAAAACCTGGAAATAGAGGTGTATTTCAAATGGTAGAGTGCTATCTTAAGCAAAAACAGCTTGTCAGTGCCCAGATCCTTAATTCAAGCCCAAAGTCCAGCACATAAACATAAACACACACACACACACACACACACACACACACATGCTAATAATGGCACTTTGTTATAGTTGGAACTTCTAAAACCTTCACAAATTTCTGTTTGTTAGGACTAGCTACATTCACAGTGATATACGTTTTTAAAAAGTATCAGTAAGAAAGATATTAACTCCAGCATGACACAAATAGAGGTGATATTGGCTCTTCTTCACATCTTCATCCTGGGGAATATGACCAGTCTCTGGAGACTGAATTGGTGTCAGCAAAAGGCTGATATTTATCATGATTATTCCTCAACAGGTGGGAAACAATTTTGTATATAGGAATTCTCACAATTCCCTGTATACTTGTTCAAAGACTAAAAAAAACTTCCCTAAGGATAATTGTCCAACTGAGGAGGCTATATGTCTGCTCTTAGAGACTCCTCTGGCCAAGCTGTCAGAAAAAAGTGGGACACATTGGTAACAATATCCCAGGGCCCCTCTGCAAATCCATTTACTTTTCTAGGGAATATAAGTGCTCTAGAATGGAATCCAGCAATGGCTCTACTGGAAAATTGTTGTGTTCTCCATCACATGTAATTACTATAATACCTTACCAAGCACTAACCTTGGTAGAGAAAGCAGTCCAGACTCAGAAAGTGAAGGTTTTTTTTTCATATTGTAATACAATGTGTGACAACTAAAGGTGCATTACTGACAGTAATAATTTGTAACATCATCAGATTCCATGATTGTTAGTTCACTAGGCTCCATTCCCACAGTTTATGCTGCTTTCCTAGGATCTGGCAGGCACCTTTCCCAAAGAGTTCATCCTAAGGCCCACTTGGTGCAGACAGTAAATAGACTATCAAGCTCATTTGGTACAGGCAGCATATTATTGGCCTCCTTTCTCCTTTACATTGATATGATGCTCCTTTAAGGCAGTTACAACCATATAAGTTAACAAGGTCCCTTTAAAGTGACCTTTGGTCAGGGCAGCTGCAGACCCCTTGTCTCCTACTTGGGCAGGTGCCATAAATCCTAGCATGCCATGATGAAGTCCCTAGATGACTGTACATCCACACCAAAGTCTCTGCCTCCTAGGTCCTTTAGGTTATAAGGGTCACCTCATACACTGGCCAGGGCTTCTTCTCATTTTGCAGGAAGTTTTCTTCCCCCCTCCCTTTGCAGGCAATAACCTTTCTTTGTTCTATGTGTGTGGATGTCTGCTTGATTCCCTGGCAGGCCAACAGTGGTGCTGTGACTCAGATCCAGGTGTTATCTAGGTGAATTTGCTCTTCATGAATCCCACCCACCCAGCATCTGAGCTGTCTCTAGAGCCTGGCTATGAATTGCCACTGTGCTAGTTGCCCTCTCACCTGGAGAGTTCCCACCCCAGGGGCCCAGACTTCTGCCAGACAGATACAGCCACCACACTGATTCCTCCTGTCCTTAAGAGCTCCTTCACATCCAATTCACTGGCCTTCATTCATCTGTACACAGTAAGTGGACCTGGGCTCCCAATGGTGATTTTTCTTTCCCTTACTTGGCTCACTGTTTTCCTTTAACCAGAGAGGGAAGGAAAAAGGAAGGAAAGAAGGGAATGGAAGGGAAATAAAGCAAAAGAAGTAGAAGACAGGGGAGGAAAAAGTTGGGAAGGCACATTTTTCAGGAAAGGAGCCCACAAATCCTGTCTCCACAAGATACAGTTGAAACCTCAGTGATGTCAGAAATGCATCTCCATCTGTATGGGAATCAGTTTCAGTAATGCAAAACATCCTAAATTAGACACAACAGCACCCATGATAAGTCAGTGAAGTCTTCATGGTAAAATTTTCTATGATAAAAGTCTTGGCACAAATTGTAATACTAGTCTTCCCTGGAGACTTGTGCTTTCTTTTATGATTAGCAACATGGTCTTTGATTGATCCAAGAGAGATGCAGAATCAGGGATGAGCAGAGAGGAAGCAGCTGATGCAGCAAAATCACTGGTCCATGGTCTGGGGAACTTTGTGGTGGAGGCTGAAGTGTTATATGGATCTCATAATGTTGCTGAGAGCAATAATCTGCTACATGGTCTTCTGGAGGCTGCTGAAGGTGAGGGTGATATCAACTCCTTCCATAGAACCAGTCAGGGTTGCCAGAAGTGCAATTTAGGAACCTGGTCCAGTTTCTTCTGGCATTAGCTTAAAGTAGTTTTTTGGATTGGAGCTTCATAAAGACTGGCTGGCCATACAACTGTAGGTGACAATCCCTCCTGCAGGGATCACGGAGACTATATCACTATGATTTCTCCAGACACCCACAAACATGATGAAACATTGTGAAATGTGATCACACATTGCTTCACAATATATTAAACTGTGTTTCTCAAGTAGTGTATATCTATGGTAACAATTTCCATTCTGGTCTAGGTGATTTCTTTCATTTTATATTCTAAAATCTGCTTTTACTTTTATAAAGGTGTGACTCATCAAAACTTCTAACCTGAGACTCCCAGAACCAGGTTTAGGGAGATTTTGTGCTGTGACACCTTCATATTGTCTTCACTACTCTGAATTACTCAAGAAACATCTCTTGGGAAGCTCAATAAATAGATCACTGAGCAGAAATGAGCCTCAAGATCCTTTGCAAAGCACCAAGAGTGGGAGTAAAACTTCATAAGCTCTGAGCATGAGAACAGATAGTAGATAAACAACAAAAAAGCATGATCCATTGGATTCTGCAGAGCAAAACTACAACATTCAGTGTTTTTCAACAAATTTATACATGCAAAATATTTTTACACTGTCAATAAAATCTTTAATTAATTATAGCCAACATAGAAACAGATTACTTTTATTGTGTGTGTTGGTACTGTGGATTGAATTCAGGGCCAGGATACTGTCATTTAGCTTATTCTGCTCAAGGCTGGTGCTCTACCAGCTTTGAGTAATTTGAGTTACAACTCTTCTTCTGAAGTTTTTTGCTGGTTAATTGTAAATAATTGGACTTTCCTGCCTGGCTAGCTTGGAATCTTGGGTCTCAGATCTCAGCCTCCTATATAGTTAGGATTACAAGCTGAGACACTGGGGCCTGGTTGTAAACAGACTAATTTTATGGCAGATTGTAACTATGAAACTATCATTTATAACTTTCTTAGGTTATACATAGATGGTGTCAATACATGGAATGCTTTCATGTAACAGTAAAGATCCATGCAGAGTGCACAATATTTTTATCTCTGACTCCCTTTGGATCTGTAAATACTTGAAGTTGCTCTTGCACAACTCCAAAGTACCTAAAGATATTCCAACCAGTCTCTGATACTTTCCTCATCACAAATACTATCACAGGAAATAAATCCGCATGCAGGTAACAATTACCCTGCCACTGTTCATCAGGTCAGCCTTTTTGTATCTTTGTGCAGGTCCTGAGGCTTGAACACAGGGCGTGGGTGCTGTGCCTGGGCTTCTTTTGCTCAAGTCTAGCACTCTACTACTTGAGCCACAGCTCTACTTATGGCTTATTTTTGAGCAGTATATTAGAGTTAGGAGTCTCATATACTTTTCTTTCTGGGCTGGCTTTGAAATGCAATCCTCAGATCTCAGCCTTCTAAGTAGCTAGGATTACGAGCATGAGGCACTTGTGCCTGGCAAGAGGTCAACCATTTTTAAAGTAATAACTCCTGTCTCCCAAAGCCTCCTTATAATTAATACATCTAAGTCTTGTGGAGGGTAAAGATGAAAAAGTATAACTCCTAAGTCTTAGTAGAGCATTATTTTATTCCTCCACAAAATAACAACAATAATATTTTACACTAATAGGACTATGAAATTACTGGGCATATAGGTATTCTGAGTAAATCAGACAAAATCCCTGAACTCATCAGCACTTTCAGGTCAATGTGAAGGTCTGGTAACAATGAGACACCATTAAGTCAAAAGAATATACATAAAAGAATGCTACACCTATAAAAGGAAGATATACACAACAAGGGAAATGCAAAAATGAATAAGCTGTTTTACTGTATGAATCTCAATAATGGCACAACCAAGTTACAAGGGTGTGAAAATCTTTGTTTTTTTTGTATTATTGTTGTTTTACTAGTACTTGGGCTTGAACTCAGGGCCTGGATGCTGTCCCGGAGCTTTTTTTGCTCTAGACTACTGCTCTGCCACTTGAGCCACACTTCCACTTTGGTTAATTGGAGATGAGACTCTTGCCTAGGCTGGCTTCCAGCCATGATCCTCAGATCTCAGCCTCCTGTTTATCTAGGATTAGAGGTGTGCATCACTGGCATTCAGTATATTTCTGTTCTTAATTACAAGAGATGTTCTCATACCAATGCTCCTGACCTAAGAAGAGAAAAAGAGGGCAAGCATATAGAGGACTCCCCCTGTAGTCTTCAGCCAAAACATTGCAGTGGCCTTCAGAGTCTAAGACTATGATCAGGTAGGGACACCAGGAAGAACAATTGGAGCAGCCCAGCCTGCTAGTTCTGCTTTCATGGTGGTTTATATTATGATTTGTATCACTGTGGGAGGATAATCATAACCTTGTTGACAGTAATAAGTCTTAACATCTTCAGACTGCAGCTTGCTGATGGTGAGAGTGAACTCTGTTCTGTCTAATATCCATGGTCTTTGGACCTAAATGGAACCCCAGAAATGGGGTTACCAGTGTAAGAATACACCAAGGTCCTCACTAGCAAGGGATGGAGACTCTATATCCTAGAGATACAGACAGGATGGAGACTGGGTGATCTGCATGTCACATCTGGCCTCTGATGATGGAAACATAAAAACAAATATCAACACAATCAATCATGTTATAAGAGGATTTCCCTGTGGCAACACTGGTCACACTAGGCTGAGCAAATTCCTAGTGCTATTCTTCCTTACCTGGAAGGCAGAGCAGCAGGAGCCCCAGGAGCTGAACAGGGGCCCTAATGCCCATGCTGTGTGCTGACTAGAACTGATTCTTGTACAGGGTATGAGCAGCCTATTAAGATGTGTTCAGAGCAGTGGACTGTGCTCTGGGCACATGCACATCAGCAGGGGCTGAGCAGGGCTGGGCACAGCTGCAGGGTTGACTTATATCAACTCCTTTATTAGGGATTAGGGTCTTCAAGATTCCCCAGCGTTGAGGATAGAGCATGTTTGCTTGAAGAAAACATGTTTCTTTCTGGATGCTGAAGGAGAGTATCTGTCTATTGTCCACGAGGAGAATGTAGTTTTGATTTCTCCCAGGTCTAGCACATTTCTCTCCTTATTCTCATTCCATCTGTGACAGAGGCTGAGTTATAATACAATACCAGAAACTGCATAGTCCTCTCATGAGACATAGGTCAATATTACTGTGGACAGGAAAGTTTCCTCCTTTTCTCAGCCTGCCACTTCCTTTGTATGAAGTTGAAAAACAATGTAGACATGAACATCATGAATTATTTTCTCTTTCCATTTTAAATGTATGAATCTTTCACCATGCACTGCTTGGAATCACACATATCCTTGCTTGCTATCCCCTGAATGCCTTGAAAGTACTTAGCTGCTCTATCTCCACTCTTGACCCAGGCCATTGTCTTTAGTAGCGGCATTCCGCTCCCGATCAAATATGATTTGTGCCTTGGAATTAATATGATCACTTAATCTACTTATTATACCATTTCCAAGGACCCACATGCTAAGAGAAAACAGTAGTGGATGGCTGGATTTAGGACTACATGTCTCAAGCTCTGTGAAATGTGGTACATGTAAGAGAGTGTAGAAACCCTCCATGAGATCCAAAGTATGTCCTTATATAGGAGGGCTGATACTTGTTGAATTTGCCAAACCTAAGAGATGGGCTAAGATGAGCACGCACATTGACATGGCTTTCCTGTGTAAGAATAGCCTGGGGTGGCTGAGGAAGGTACCTGTGGAAGGAGCAAAGGGATAGTAATTACTGCAGAAATTGAACCAGGACATACTGTCTGCAAAGGAGGATCTGGGAGGGAGGGGAGCTGATGGTGATTATTGTAGGTTGGTTACCAACAGGGAAGTATATCTATCATGTACATTCATTATTAGTAATTAGAACCAAAATATTCACTTATGAGAGTATTCTTTTTGAAGGGAGAGTAATTAAATGAACTGTGGTTTCAGAATGGATTTTTTGTACATAGAGACTTGATTGTGCCTCTATGCAAAAATACAGGTAGCTATATAATTCTCTCTTGTCTGGAAATATGAGCCTCCTATGTCCATATGCATCTGTCATTCCTAAATACCATTGTTCCTTTGATAATTATTAATAAATGAACAAATGTCAATTTCTTTGTGGAGAATAGGGAAATGCAAGATGGGTCTGAACCATCCTGAACTATCCTTCAGAATAGTCCAAAGAATGAGGGGATTCTAGTCCAAAAACGTAGAAGTCAAGCTGAATGGAATAACAGCCAGTACATCTGGAGGATTTTGAATGTGAAGATATTGAAGGATAACAGTCAATTAAGGAAAATATTCATCCATGCTTTTATACTAATATTTTTCATATGGAATTGTGTATCCATTAGTTCCCAAATGATTTCATCCAGAATCCTTCTTTATTATAAAAGTTAAAAGTTTCTGAGAGCAGAAATTGACAGACCACATGGCTCCAAGTTCAAAGTGCATGTCCCAGTGAGGAGCTGATGAGGGTATGCCCTTCCTGGCAGGATGCCCTGAGAAGAGCAGAGCATCACTTCTGGGTTCTTCTGTCTCTGATGGTCTTGGCATGTGTGTTGAAATCAAGGTCCCTTGAAGTTCAAGCACCAGGATTGCAGGAGGAAGCTTGTGCCTAGAGTCAATACCACAGTCAGTCCACCTGCAGCCACACATCCGTGAGATCCCCATAGTTCTCATCCCCATGATCATGTCTTGCTCAAACTGGCTGGAACACTTGAAATACATGAGAAACACATGAAATATCTGTGATTCAATGCTGTGTCTGCATTTCATTCAGATCCCACTTCTCTCTCCATGTACACTAGAACTGGCTTGACAAGCTATGGAGAGTGTCTCCCTTGGAGATTCAGAAATAGTGTTTGGTGTCTGGTTCAGGATGATATTCGCACACACTGCAAAGAAACAAATGTGAAATGTAGTGCTAATACTTCACACTGAAGTCAAGCATTAAGAAACAGTCACCCTCTCCTACTACAGAGACTGAAAAACCTGCGTTTTTCCAGAGATTCAGTACTCACTCATCTGCTTTCCTGAGAGTCAAACTGCTAGGATCAAAGGTCAAAATAGACTGTGTTGAAACTATCAGGTCTGAATCTCTAGTCACAGTTTGTACCAATGGTGTATGAGACACATTATCAATTATCAGGAAAGAGGGCTGAATATGGAAGGTCTTTCAACCAAGGGATCTATTTAGTCCATGTTATAAAGTGACTTGAAGCTTTTGAAATTGGTGGAACTGTCCATAGGCAGTAAATTTCCCCATTATGTAGAAAGTATTCATTCCTTATTACAATTATAAAATTATTTTGAATAAATTTAGGGCAGTCTCATAAAGAACCCGTTCTATTTTTTTAAAAATTGAGACAATACTACACTTACTGAAATGCCATAATTATAGTGAAACATATCCTTCCCATACAATGGAAATAATAACAGGAAGGTGAAGGTATAATAAATTTTACATATTCTAAGATCTTACTAAGTAGCATTAACAGAAACAATAGACACTATATAACCCTAACCAAACTAAGAAAAAAATTACTCTAACCTTAGGTCCAAATTAGTTTTGACAATTATCTCTATAAAAAAACCCACAAAATATATTTCATAGAGAAACAAGTTCTCCAAAGGTCAATCTGAGTTGGGATTCTACGTTTGCTGGATGACTGTTATGAGTCAGCTTCGAGGCTGTGCCAATCCAGCCCTAGCATTGATGATTTGCATGTGCCCAGAGCACAACATACTGCATTGCTCTGAGCACTTCATAGGCTGCTTACATTCTGTGCAAGAGCCAATTCCAGTCAGCACACAGCATGGACATGAGGCCCCTTTATCAACTACTGTGGCTCCTACTGCTCTGGCTTCTCAGGTAAGGAAGGTCAACACTAAGTCTGATCAGCTCAGTGTGATCAATGCTGGCTGGCCCTTTAGGGAAGTCCTTGTAAAAACAAAAAAAAATATAGTGTGTGTGTGTGTGTGTGTGTGTTTCCCTGCCAAGTGCCAGATGTGTCATCCACATGACCCAGTCTCCAACTTTCCTGTCTGCATCTTGAGGAGACACAGTCTCCATCACTTGCAGGGCCAGTGAAATCACTGACAACTATTTAGCTATGAGCAAAAGCTAGGGAAAGCCCCTAACTCTTCATCTGTGCTGCAAATAGTTTACAACCTGGGGTCCAATCTAGGTTCAGTGACAGTGGCTCTTGCACAGATTTCACTCTCACTATCAGCAGCCTGTGGCAGAAGATCTTGTAACTTATTATTTCCAAATATTATGGATATCTGCCCACAGTGATTCAAGTCATAACAAAACCTTTCCAGGGAAGCAGAAGTGAAAAGTGGGCCTGCCCCAGCTGCTCTACTGGTGCCTCTGCCTGCTCACATAGCTTTTCAACCACAGCCAGGCTCAGAAGTTTCATTCTTTTCTCCTTCCTTCCTACTGTCCTTCCCTCTATTGTTCCTCCCTCCTTCTCTTCCTTCCTCCATTCTTCCTTGTTTCCTCCTTTCCTTTGTTCTTGATTCCAATTTCGGTATCTATCTCTGATTCTCTTCCATGCATGACTTGTAATGTCTGATGTTATATAGGGTAGAAATTGTTATTCCTGGTGAATGTATTTATATTATTTTATGGTTTACAAACGGCTGAAGAGAGTGATTATGGATCATACTAAGGAGAGATTTTTAAATTATTCAATGGCATATATTAATTTGTAATATTTCATCACAATATTGCCATATTTGCACATACTTCAATCAAAGTTTTATTACTCTTTGCTAATTTATTCGTTGTTATTGTAGGGTTGATATATAGAGGTTATAGTTACATGAATCAGGTAATGAGTAAAATACTCTTCTTTTTGAACCATATCTTCCATTTCCTCTATCTCTCTCCCAGTTTTTTCCATGCCCATTCAAAAGGTGTACACTTCATTTTCTACATAGTGTCTAGTAAGAACCACTGTTGTATTTGTTCACATTTGTTTTACCTTTTTTGTGCTCCCACATATAAGCAAACTAACATGACAAAAAAACCAAAACCAATCAATAGCAACTAAAAATGAATCTAGTTTCAATTTTTTGGAGTTCATTTTGTAAAATATTGTTTTATGTGATCTTATTGACATAGCTATTGAATCTTTGTCAAATACTCCTAAGTATATTCTCCTTTGGCTTCAGTGTGTGAATGTCTAGAGTACTATATAATTTATTATGTCCCAGTGTATGTGAATATATATATATACTGAAAGATTAATGTATATTGCATACTAATATATACAATGAAAGATTAATATATATACTGAATGATAAAGTGTATATTAATATATACATTACACTTAATTATATATATATTAATCATTGTGTTTAATCACTGAGTGTGTTTACTTGTAGATATATAGGCACATTCTCATGATCACAAATGAGGCAAACCATGCAGCTTATGTTTCTTTGGCTCTGGCTTACTTTGCTTCATAAAATTTTTTCTGTCTTTCCATTTCCTTATGAATGGTACAATATCAGTTTCTGATGGATGAGTACAATTCCATTGTGCGTCTATACCACATTTTCTTAATCCATTTGTCCCCTGAGGGACTTGGATTGATTTCCTAATTTGGTTATGGTAAATAATGCTGCATTGAATGTAGTTGTGCTGGTAGCGTTAGCGTGGCCTTGTTTGTGGTCTATTGGATAAATGTCCAGGAGTTGGATTGCTAGGTCATAGGGAAGCTCCATGTTTAGTCTTTTAAGGAACCTCTATACTGCTTCTCACAGTGGTTGAACAAGTTTACATCCCCATTAACAGTGTGCTAGGTTTCCTTTTGGCCACATCCCTGCCAGCATTTGTTATTGTTAGTTTTCTTGAGAATGGCCATTCTAACTGGAGTGAGGTAGAATTTCAATGTTATTTTGATATGCATTTCTTTTTTGTCAGAGATGTTGAACTCTTTTTCATGTATCTATTGGCCATTTTTA